ACATTCAGGCAAATTCCAAGATAAAATCCACAACACCTTTAAAATAATATTTGTGTGTCAAATGAGAATTATTTTGAAGCGCCAGATCTAAAAAGACTTTAAAGTGAATATCTTTTATATCAAGAGCAAGCACATCCCTATGGAAGTTATTATCCCAGGCAGTTTAAAATGGCATACTGCAGTCCTCACTCAGTATCCAAGCCCATACCCCAGTCAGTACCCAAGCCCCTGGCATCTGAAAGCCCTAAAGGAAACCCAAATGATGTAATAACAACCTGTTTTCATTTACCCCATCACCGCCAGCCACCCCAACTAAATAATATTAAATAGCAACCCCATTCTTGTGATACCTTATCTGAAACATCTTAAAAAATGCTTTTCAATGCTACCCTACAAGCTAACATTCGATGTAATAATTGTCAGCTTTTCAAAATAAAACCATTGAAATGGCAATTGGATTTTTGACTATTATTTATTAAAGCTTCAAAAACATTCTTAGTACTATCGTAACATTAATCTTGAGGTTTAAACATTTTATGCCTGTTTATCTGTTGCTTTGAAATTTTTACCTAAAAGTGCAAACTTGGATAGTTTGTAAATTATCTGGAAAGTTCAACAAACTAGCCAACCCATTGGTTATTTTGATAAACGCAATTTTCACTAAAATAACAGCTAGTTTGCAAACTAACCAAGAGTCTTGCTTGGCTGATTAAACAGCAAAAAAGCCAGCTGTCACGTTCTTTACGCATAAATAGTTAGTGTATAAACACTCGTTTCTGTTGGGCAATAAGCATTGGCTATCATGAATTGCGAATTAAGAGTTTAAATAAATAAATAGATAAGCTTTTATTCCCAAGAGGAACAAGTCCCAATTACAGGAAAAATTAGTTTTCTGTACATATCACAATCATGACGTCTTATTAATAGAGAAAAATTAACTGTTCAGTATAGCAATGATAATTCTTGACAATCGGTCCTTGTTAATATCACACACACTTGAAATGCCATTGAATACAGAACAAACAAAATATAGCGGGCATTGCATTAAGATGTTTGACCTGGCCCTACCCAAGTGAAACGTTGAGTCATACCTCCTTGCCAGATGTGGAACCCGAAACTGAATCCTAGCCAAAAGCGAGGGACAGTCAATTACATTGTGAAGGAGGTTATACAAGAACCTGAGACCCAGTATTTTCCTTCTAACTGAAAGCGACTGTGTATTGAATCATTGTAAATACTGGCAATGTTCAATCCCTCTGGGAGGACCCATCTAATCTGAATGTGACATACTTTAAAAATTTTCTTTGAACATTTTCAATTGTGTTAACTTGGCACTTGTAAATAGGGTTCCAGATCACTGCACCTTAACCAAGCTTGAACCTAACAGAAGTGAAGTACAAGAGTTTAAAAGTAAATTCATTTGAGAAGTACTTACTTGCTAAGAGTTGTGTATTATACACCATTAGCTGGCTAAACCGGCCTTAATTTCCAACTTTACAATGAAAGTAGCTGAAGTGCAGAAAAATAATCTGATTACAATTTCATTAAGCATTACGATTAACAACGAGTTGATGCACAAATGCACTATATATTCTTAGTAAAAAATCTGGCAAAATATTAGCTTGCGCACACAACATTTCCTTACTATAAAAATATCTAAGTAAGTTGTACTTGTTTGAAAATATTTTTTTTTCTATTAATACAAAATTTAAAGCAAAAATTTGCATTTTATTCATCTCCAACTTACCAAATAAGACATAGTTAGTTTATAAACTAGCCAATGCTTTGGCTGTTTTGTGTTACTAGCTAGATATTATGGATTTCATTTTAGCTAGGTTGTCTTGGATAGTTAATAAACTAACCAGCTATTTGAGTTTCAGGATGCAAAAACATCATGATATTTATATATATATCAAAATATCTGATATTTTATGATATATATCGGATATACACTCACTCAAACTTATATGGAATCACCAAATATTTCCGCTGAAGAATTTTTTACTAAAAAATTAGTTGCTGGGAATCAAAAAACAGTTTCTTTGGTTCATTTTCATTGGAAAAATAATTTAAAATCCGTGAACCTAATTTCATTACAATAAGAATTGAATGAAAGGCCAATATTACAATTTGAGTAATTCCATATAAGTTTGAGCGTGTGTGTATATTCAATATGTGATATTTATGATATTTTCATAAAAAGTTCAATAACGGTACGTAACCCAGCTTTTTCTCTGGTGTAGCAATATGGGTTGCTATCGCTAACATTCCTAATGGTTGGAAATTTTCTTTCTCAGGACCGGTTTCTAAGTGAACGGTTATTCAGTTTAGCTGTTGGTTAACTGATAATTATAATTGGTTAATTGACAGCTTAACTAGATAGCTATCCACTGATAAACCGGTCGTCAACTAGAAAACACCTGCGATGTTCAACTTCTGGTTGCGAAAAGCTGGGCTGGAACTCTGTAACGGATAGAGATCGTTATCCCTATCGCTATGGCACTTGCTGTCTTCTTCTCTCTTCTCGAAATCATTAGAGAGGGGACGTCAATAGAGATAGAGAAAATATCTTTACTCGTTACAGAGTCCCAGCCCTGGTTACTTACTGGTTAATGTTAAATATCGCTGACCATATCCCCATATCCTAACCTTCGTAACCATTTCGTTACCTACCGCTTTATAACTACTTTCCGTAACCCGGTTAACACCAAAACTCGCCCAATCTCAACTCGACCATAACTAACCCAAACTGTACCTAATATGAATTTTAATTTTAAACACTTTTGTAGGGATAAATATCGTAATATTTTTGAAATAAATATCGCGATACATATCATGATATATATCAGCTGATATACAGGGTGTTCATTTTAAAACTTACGACCCCCATTATCTCGGAGATGAAAAATTTTCGAAAAAATCCTTGGAACACGTCAACTATAATTTGGAGGCGGATGAGTTTTTATGCAAAATTCACCTACCCGCTTTCAACCCCCAGCCCCTCGCCCAGCCCCCAGAGCCATCCCCTAGAAAATCTTAAATGGGGGTCAAGTGATAAACTGAAACTCAAATATGCTTTATTGTCAGCAAGTCGGAAGCACACAAAAGTCTCATTGACAAAGCTGTTACAAAAACCTAATAGCTAAAAAATCTTTAAAACGTATTAAGTAATTTAAACGTAAACTGAATTTATGGATCTCATAACAATACAGAAATAAATAAAAAAAACTATAAAATCAAAAAAAAAAAACTATTAAAAAATAGTTTTTTTATTTTTTTTTTCTTTCTTCCTTTTTAAAACAAATATACAACATGATATTCAATAGACAAAACGTATGTAATGTAATCCACAACTCAGTCAACATAAATTAATTTAAAAGTCAGACATTGAATAAAATAATTGAATAAAAGCATTAGACATGAATACAGAAAACAAACTAAGACAGTGTGGCCAGGAAATACTCGTCCAAACTATAAAAAACACTTGCAATCAGCAAGCTCTTCACCTTACGCTTAAAAACCATATAATCTTTAATTTTTCTCCTTGCAAGAGATAGATGATTGAATGAATTCTTACTGTTGTATATAAGTGAACTTTTAGTCAATGCAGATGTTGGAATCGGTAGATTAATGGTACAATAATTTCTGGCATTGACTAATGAAGGGGTGTGAATGTTGGAGGAGTATTTTCTGTGCATCAGACATACAGACTCCAACACAAAGATCGAAGGAAGGCTCATGATGCTTTGTTCAAGAAACAAGGTCCTGCATGAATCTCTAATCTTTGCATCGCACATATATCTAATTGCACGTTTTTGGAGTACAACCACAGAATTGAACAATGTGCCTGAACAACTTCCCCAGAAACAAATCCCGTATCTTAGGTGGGACTCAATTAGAGCAAAATATGTCTTTCTAGCTATTGACATATCTAATTTGTTCTTAATAGTCCTTCCTTATGCTCGTCCTTATGGCATAGCACCCTGATCATAATTTTCTTCAATGATTCTTCACATGTATGTCAAACTTAAGCCTATTTTCAATAAACAAACCCAAAAACCTGTTGTCGCATAAGTTAGTAATCTTATCATTATCCAAAAAAACATCATTTAAATGACACTTAAAATTTAAAACACTAGTCTTTGATACGTTAAACGATAATAGATACATCATTTGGAGGCTTTTTCATTCCATACATTTTGGTACTAAATTTTGATACCTAAGTTCAACTGTTTTGAAAATATTGACAGTCAAAAATTGACTTTTTTGCAACTTTGACAGGCTGTAAAACCTTAACGGTTAATTTTAGAGGCGAGCCGATTTTACATTCTTATCTTAGATTTTCATAAACTCCTCCCAGTTGACACCATCTTTGAATTTAGCCGGAGATTAAATTTAATTGGAATTCTCCGAGAAATTTTCAATCAAGGATAAAATTCAAAGTTGACAGTTTATGAAAATCCAAGATGGGAATGTAAGATCGGTTTTCTTCTAAAATTAACCGTTTAGGTTTTACAGCCTGTCAAAGTTGCAAAAAGTCAATTTTCGACTGTCAATAATTCCAAAACAGTTGAACTTGGGTATCAAAATTTAGTACCCAAATGTATGGAATTAAAAAGCCTCCAAAATGATGTATCACTTGACTGCCCTTCCCATTTAAGATTTTCTAGGGGATGGCTCTGGGGGTTGGCGGGTTGAAAGGGGGGAGGTGAACTTTGCATAAAAACTCATCCCCCTTCAAATTATAGTTGATGTATTTCAGGGATTTTTTCGAAAATTTTTCAACTGCAAGATAATAGGGGTGGTAAGTTTTAAAATGAACACCCTGTATATCCTTGCGCCTTGTTTAGTTTTCTCAAGTTTGCATATTAGCCCTGACATATATACCTTTTTAAGTAAATTTCTTGTAATTGGGTTTTACCTGTTGGAAATAAACATCTATTTATTTATAATCAAACTGTTTTCCAATTGTCCTAATCAAGTATTGTTATTGTTTTTAGGTAAATCATACATCAAAGAGGTATCATTTGCTACCTTTTACTTTGTTACCTACGGTGTGCCACTTACAACAGCACCAAGGTTTAACCACATTATGGAAAGGCTTAGGCTCCACTTTGCTTGTCCGGGGAATGTCTTTAGGAGTAGAAGACTTGATATCAAAGTTAACCCCATGGCCCAAGTGAGTATATCATATATTATTTATGTTGCAAAATTATCTCAAATTAAAATTTTTTTAGAGACCTAAGCTGGCATAGTAGTTTAAAACAGTTTTTTCAGCACACAATGTTGAAATGGTAAGTGAAAATTGGAAGGTAGCCCAATGGACAACATTATTATTAAATGATATGTATTTCAGTGTTACCTTTGCAATTGTAACTCCATTTTATTCAGCTTCGTTCGTTGAAACAGTCCAAAGCGAAATAGCCAGCGAGAGACCAGGAATCCTAGATGTTTTCCGAGAAGGATTTATAAAACTGCTAAATTGGAGGGCCTCATCCAAAAGCCGCTTACTTCCAATATGGGCTTTAGTTCTTCCAACCATGACCCTCGGATTAACAAAATATTTATTCTCAATGATGATCAAAGGGGTTGCAGTGCGGCTTCTCAGTATCCGCCAAAGAAACAAGTGGGAACAGACTGGAACTATTCCTAAAGATTTCAATAACCATGCTTCGGATGATGTCAAGATGACTGCTGCACTAATAGCTACTATCTCTGCTGATGTTGTATTTTATCCATGTGAGACCATTGTTCATCGTTTACATTTACAGGTAAGCCAGGCGAAGTGTTCCTCAACCTTTACCTGTGGAGACAAAACACATGTAAAACTGTGTTTTGTCTAGGTTCTTCCTCTACCTATGAGATTAAAGTGTTGATCTTTGCATAGATATTTTTTATCGTTTAGAAATAAAATGATATCATTATCTCACTCATTTATCAAAATAAAAAATGTACCTTCCAAAAATTCAATAATTGCCCATTTCAGATGAACGACACTTTAGACCATAATGTTATTATGATACTAGACAATAAAGATTTTCCCAAAAATAGAACATTTCCAAGAAAAAACTTGGTGGTGTCCTGCCACTATAAAGATCTTTCTGGCTAATACCATAAACATTTTTTCACAACTGATTTCTTGTGAAAGAAAGACATGGACATGGAACATTATCTTTCAATTTTGATTCAAATTCCATAAAATACAAAAACAAGATGATTTATTTAGAATAAGTGAGCATCCTCATTCCAGTCACAGCGTAAAAATACATTCATTAATTTGTCTGTCCCTTCTTGCTTCAGGCAAATAGCAGAATAAGATCAACTTCAATTTTCTTCTATATGTTTGTAATTAGGCACCAACCACTCTCAATAAAAATATAGGACCCAATTAGCTCTGTATTTTTTAGGGTACCCGTACTATTGTTGACAACTTAAGTGATGGACGTTCTGTATTAGCTATTTTAACCAACTATAGAGGTGCAGTAGACTGTTATGAGAAATGTATTGGAACAGAAGGTACCAGTGGGCTATACAAAGGATTCGGAGCTTTGATTTTACAGTACATGGCCCACATTGCACTCATAAAGATATCCCGTTTTCTACTATCAGAACTGGGAGCGCTACTAACGAAATCCGAACCAAAGCCCCGTATTCCGGCAGATAATTCTCCGCCTGCCATACTTGTATAATTATTAAGTTTTATAGTTTTTGTTGAGCGTAATTAATTCAACATTTTTTTTTTATTAAATAAAAGTTTTTCATGTTCAATATAGGTATATATTTAATATATTATGTATAATATATTATGTTGTACCTAATCGAAATTTGTCGTTTTTAAAGAAGTTTTGGAATGAATAACCTTTTCCATAGACAGAATGTGTATAAATTAGATCCTAAAGGCGGTAAAAAGCAGACAATGTTTTGACACCTGATTTTTGAGATTTCTGCGACCTTAATGGCTACATAAGTTGTCTTATGCATTTTTTAATTTGAAGGAGGAAACTTGTTGCTAATAAGTTTTCATTTTTCGTAGATCGAAAGAAACTTCCTTTAGTCTTCACAATATATTTATTTGTTAATTACACTTGAGGCGTTTCGGTGGGTTACACCATTATTAAGGGTGACTAGAAGTGTAAATAAAAGTAGGTGGAAAAATTATAGACTTAATAATTAAAATACACTTGAAAATATTCAAGCTTAAGTCATAAGGGCAAACATGTAGTCACATAACAGGAATCAAACACATTTCTTGAAAATCCTTCAATTCAAATAAAACTATATTTATACAGAATAAAGATAAAATCAAATAAAACGTCCAACCAATGACATCTATCAGGATTAAATACAAATCCTTAAAGATCTTAAAAAGAACGCAATGGTATTTATTTAAAAAAAAAAAACTTGCAATTTTGGCTGACTCGGTAGTGGGCTCCAACAAGCTCGTTCAAAGAATCAACATCATGGTCAATTTCCAAACCAGCTATCTCAAATTTCAATTTTCTACCCTTACTTATGTCATTATTATTTATGTGGATCTTCTTCCGATCAATGATAAATGTATTTCACCCCCACCCCAGACAAATCCTCGACTCTCCAAGATTTCATTTTATTTCGCATTAAATTATTCAATAGAATAATTCAATAGGACAAATACGTGAATGTAAATAATTTTTCGCGTTCTATCTTCTGCTGCCGCTAATAAATTATTTTATGCAAAAAAAATCACCTCAATTCGCATTTGTAAACTTAAAGTTTTATTATCTACCAGTAATATTGTTTGAGTTTCATACCCTATCTTATATTTTTTTGTTTGGGACTTACGTTTTATTATAATTCGATTGAAGGGACTGGAAGAAGGACTAGGGTTGCCAGACGTCCCGATTTTAACGGGACAGTCCCGATATTAGATATTTTGTCCCGTGTCCCGATGGACTATGCATCGGGACGCTAAATGTCCCGATTTCAGGAAATTCTTTCAAGAGTTTTCAAGAAATTAAAACTACTTAAGTCACTTATTTTTGAATTGTACTGGTTAATTATCTATTATTATTACCTATCATAACTATTATCAAGATTTTTTTGGTTTCGACGATAAAAATAAACTAATGCATTTTATTATTTTGCTATATTTTTAAATTTTAAAATTTTATTAGAAGTTTTATTGTTCTCCCTCCCCATGATGTCATTGCTCCCCATCAAATTCTGGCCTGCGAGTGACGTCACTATCAGCAGCTTATATAGTGATAGTGTCACCCACAGACCTCGATGGAATACTCGCTATTCAAGCTGTCCTAGTGAGTTATAGTGTAGGTGCCCAGCGACATAAAGTAGCATTTATGAATACTGCCCTGAAATGTTGTGTGTGGCTCGAGGTGTGGCTTAATTGCGCCTAGTCTACCATCTTTTTCCTTTAGGAAAACTTTAGTAGTGGGGGCTTTTCTTTTTTAGTTTTTCCGAAAACCGACCATTTCGCGTGGTGCAAAAAATTTATAGATATCGTTTTTATTTTTAGTGAAATCGCGAGACAAATTCATGAAAAACGCGAAAAAAAATGTGTCCGACAAAAATGTTGGACCGTTAAGGGTGTCTACCAAGTCAAACATATCCAATTGACAAGTTAAAAAAATTTTTGGATAACGAGCTGATTTTTTCAGAATTACTTAATAAAAATATGAAGAATATAAATATCCAATTGTCCGACATATTACATTTTCCGATTTTCCAGTCCGATGCGGAAAAATCATCGGTTTCACGAAGCCAAAAAATTTACGAATAACAATTTCTTCTTTCAATTTATTGTATTGAAAAGAACTATAGAACATAATGACTAAGTTGTCGGTCAGTAAAACATTACCTTATACGTCAAAAAGAAGCAAAAAATCATAAAATGTGTGGGAGTGGGCCATTTTGATTTCGCCGCATAATAAAAAGTTATATTTGTGCTCTCTTTTTTTTTTAAACTTGCATTAACACTGCACAGAACAGTAGTGTTGCATTCTTCGTTTAATTTGCAATGAAAAGTTTTTTCTTCAAGTTCATGCGATGTTTCAACACAAGATTCAGCATGAATTGATGTGATGTCTCTTTCATCTGAGAATGTGGAAGCAACGGATGTACCACAATCGTCTAATACTTCTACTTCTAAATGGGAAACACATATGGATGTTGATGATGAGTAAGTAAAATAGTGGGTATTAAATTGAAGAGGTAGTCCATTTCTAAGTGGAGTTTAAATTTAATTCAAAGGAAAGAAAAGGCATGAAGTCTTCCTCTACATTATATATTATACCCTATATGTTTCGAGGATATAAATCCTCATCCTCAGACTCCTCAGAGGCAAAAAAGCTCAAAAATGGTGAATTGAAATAAAAGTCTAGGACGCCAGATCTCGCATTTGCAATGAGAGAAAAAAAAAATAACTAATATACAGAAATTGTATTGCATCAGTTTAAATTCTGTATACTATTTGGGACAGACAAGTATTACTAGTATAAAACGCGTTGTTCTACACTTTTTTTTATACCCATCAATATTAATTGCTTTATTGCAACTATAATAGAAATTGTATCGAGAATCGAGATTATACCGAAAATAGTATAGTTATTGAATCAGAATTTACATACCCAATGTACGAGTGGTTGTATAGTCATTGTACAACTGGTTGAGTAGCCATTATGTAAGTGGTTGTATAGTGTTTTTAAGTTGCAGAATGCCCAATAGCCCCAATATATAAATAGTTGCATGACTCTTGTTAAAGTTGTTGTATAGCTAGTATAATACTGGTTGTGTAGTCACTATACCAGGATTGTTTACCCATTCTACTTATGGTTGTATAGTTATTAAACTATGCTTTCTTTAGCGGCTGCATTACAGGGTTGGACGAACTTTTGGAAGTGGGCCGGGAAATTTCAGTCTAGCGGCCCATACATCATCACCCCTAGACGTGATCAAATAATACTTAAGTTCATTATCATCAACGCATCCAAATTTTCCATTGTAAGTCGATACCTTGATCGATTTTTTATGTATTGAAATGTTGAAATCTGGAAAGCATTTTTCGGACCCTATTTGTGTGCACGCTGAAGTGAGGACATATACTGGTAGGCCCTAAAGATGTCTGTAAGCACAGATGTAAAATCTGTATTTTTACTATACAAAATCAAACATTGTTTGCAGCGTAAATGTGAAGAATACTTTTTTTAGAAATTTCTAATTCATGCCCTTTATCTACTTCTGTGTCATTTACATCATCTTCATCTTCATCGTTAGATTCTGGAGGATCATATATAACTTAAATCATTTAACAACTTTAATTCATTTCCTATTATCATCTTCATCTTCATCGTTAAATTCCGGGAGGTCATACAGTTCCGACCTTTTCAAGTAGCCTACCTAATTTTATTTAAAGCATTGTCTGTTCGGAAAAATTGATATATAATATGGAATATGCCCTGAATAAGATGCCTCTATTTTTATTATGATGCGATCATTGGCCACATCGCGTACTTACACCTGAAATTCAAAAATAGCACTAGCTGGAGGAGTTTCATCTCTGCTTCTTCCCCTGTTACTTCTCTCTTTTATTTGCTTTCAGTACTGTATTTGCCCATTTGACATTTTAAGCACTTTCTAATATTTCCTTCATGTTGCGTTGTTCCTTTTTCAGTGCGTCATGAATTGAATTGACCAATAATTATTTGTGCTTTCATAAGGTCTGGTCTCACAGAAATCACAAACCAGTCAAATTTCATTGGTTAAAAAATAGTCAGAAAACTGTTTGTTGGCGATTTGCACCAATCAAAAACGCTCTGACTGGTTCATGATTTCTGTAAGAACAGACCTTATGGAGCTCGTCCGTTTACTCAGGTATGCACCGTAAGCTAATTTCGAGGATTAGTTATGAAAACCTGGATTAGATACAATTTTCTTATGCACCGCAAGAAAAATTCGGTTTATGCTTCAAATTATCTAATCGGTCAACGATGCGTGGATTAGCGGAACGGTGTCTAACCTGAAAGTATTTTTTGTCACCGATTTTGAAGTTTCTTACACTTTTTTCATTATTCTGGTGTAAAATGGGTTAATATGTATAGATGATGATCTAGATAATATCCTCCATAATATCATAAACCTCGGGTTTTCCTTTTCTCGCAGAGTCTATTATAGTCTGAAAGAAGTGATTATTTCGACAATATGGACTATTATCACTCGTTTTTTCGAAGATTTCGACTTACGAAACCTACAGATCCCAACTTCCTGGAGAACATAGAAGAAATTAAATTCCAAAATGATTTGTTACTTGATAGATAGAAGAAAGTATGTCTTTCTGTTGACTAGCTAGATTACCCCACCTCATGCACCTTTTTCAAATCCAACTTATTCTACGGGGAATGCCCCGCTACATAAGCACTTGTTTGGCGATATGAGGTGTAGTGGGTAGTGGTATAACAACTATGGATAATAGCTAGTATCTAACCTTTCTAGCAGCACTGCACCTATCCTCTGCCATAGGAGAGTATAAAGTGTGTTTTTTTTTTGAAGATAAAAGTCAAACTGACATTAAGTTGGCAATACAATGTAAAACTGTCAATGCTTTCAAATTTATAAATGTAGAAAAGGCTTGTGTTGCCAACATAGTTACTAAATTTTCGACTTGGGGAATTATCTTTAAAAAAAAAACGCACTTTAGGTGCAGTGCTGTTGAATTATTCTGTTTATCGATTCTAAGCTTGAGACTTTCCGACATTGGAAACTTTGTATTTTTGTCTTCGATGATATTAGCGAATTTTGAAAGTATTTTCATGGGACTCCGCCTTTC